ATAAAATGGCGGCCTTCCGATGACCCGGTTAGGAGAGTATATTAGATCCGGCCTATCTTAAGAAAAGTAGAGTTAGACCTAAAAAAACTTAATTAGAGAGTATTAAAAATGAAAATTTGACACTTAATAGGACACAATGGAGAAAAATGATTCATGTAGCTGACACCACATATTGGGATAAAAGCTTCTTATTGTACATTTTTTTTCAAAGCAACTTCCCAAATTGATGAATCTAGAAAGTCATTTCATCGTTTTCACTCTCAGATAATTATAGATCACTACCATCCAAGTCATAGCATTTTAGTGCTACATTCTTTGCTTTCTTCTTCATAGTCTATTCATCTTCGCTAGGCCTAGGACTTATCTTTATTCACCCATATGCTACTAAAGAACCGTGCAGATGATCAATAATATATGATTTTAAATCTCTAGCCCGTATAGTAAGATTATCTTTGAATCCCATTCCTTTGATAGTGAGCATAAGTTTTTTGTTTACCTATTCACAATCTGTATGTTTCTTGCCCAGGGCATGGAGACTGTTGACGATTTTCATAAATTGACCCAACATCTATGTGATTGTCACATCGGACTTCATCCTAAATAATTTATATTCAGGCATTAAAATGTTAGTTCTTATTTCACGCACCTCATTCATTCCCTTGTATTTAATCACCAACCTATCCCATACCACCTTAAATATTCTTAAATTGCAAATTTTCATATAATCGTCTTTAAAAGCACAGTACAAATCATTAAAACTTTTACCGTTAAACAATCATAATTCTAACTCGAGAAAAGACCATTCTTCCATAGCTTTTGGGACTAATTTGCCATCTACAATGGATATAGGACTTTCATGACCTTTTAAAATCAAAATTTAAATCCTCATGTCGCATAATTAGAAATACATTATCCTCTGATTTGTCCAAAAATTGAATAATATGGCATCAAATAGAGTTAGTCATGTTATGAAGTACCCTTCCCTAACTTTTCCAATGGTGAAATCCCAAAAATCACTCTTGGATGTAAAGCCAAAGAATAAAGCTTAGGTTCCAATACGAATTGATAGTTATATATGACTCATAAGACGGGTGAATTGGGACTCAAACAAAAATTTCATGATCAAATTAAGTTTCTATAAAAAGATTTTTTTAATAGATCTAGCACCTTGAGAAGCTACATAAAATAAATGAGCAATAAAAAATAAACAGTTGTAATAAAGAAAACAAACTAAGAGAGATTTTTATGTAATTCAACTTTGAGAAGTTACATGCAATATGCAATTGTCATCTAGGAAAAACCAGCAAAGAAAGCAATAATTATTTCTTCGCTCCATGCAGGCAGAGAAACTTTTTATAATATCTCACTTCTTCAAGGAGAATCATACCCTTTAAGTTTTTTCACATCAATAATTTAGCAAAACAAAAAGAGAAATAAGCTAAACAAAACATAAATAAAATTGAGAATGATCTTATACACGAATCTAAAATGCATGAAGAATTCAAGCACTTCAAACCGAATCTCAAAGATGGCTTTGAATGTTCTTACATGCTTTTTATTATTCTAACACTTCTGTCTAACATAAGGATGTAAGAAAATTAGGTTTTGGGAGAGAAAACTAGGCGTCTAAGGTTGAGACAATAAAGTTTAGGAAAATCATGCATTAGCGTTTTCACCTACCCTTAAGTTATATATTTACAATAATAGTTTATATATCAAATTATGGTGGCCAATTAGTTAATATTTCAAATTTCACAAATTTCCCACATTTATTCACTTAAAATCGTTGTTATTATTACCCACAATTACTCTCACAACAAGTTTATACAATCTAAGTAAAAATTTTTATAATTAAGTTTGTGGATTCCCGCAAGCTTTACAATACCATGTAAAAGGGTTTGCAATAATCCATAAATCTTTGTGTAGGCCTGATAGTACTTAAGTTTCTTGGCCAAAAATACTAGATTATAAAAGAGCGTGTGTAATAATTTGTGAAGCCTCGTTACTTCTTTTGCGGAGAATTGTAAGCTTTTGATCATAACCAAGAATGTGCAATAGTTTCAAAGGCACGTTACCTGTTTAGAGAGGCCTGGTAAATTTTAGGATCAATATATCATCAAAAAAATTGTTGACCAGGCACGAATCTCGAGACAAATTCTGATTGGAAACTTCCAAAATTAAATTCGGAGCCATCCGAATTCCAATTTCAACAAACTTAAAGTCATACTGAACGTCTAGAAAAGTCAAACCCAACGATGTCAAATTTGACCCAATCTGAATCCAAATGAGTCCAAATCAATGACCCGAAGACATTTAAAAGATTCAAAGCATAAATTGGATAACCAAATAATTTCCAAATGTGATATGCTTATAATCATATCGAGCGGCTAGAGGAGACGAATCCAACATGCCGGATTTGGCGCCACTCCCACATGTGTGGGCCATGTCTAGGGTAGGTCGGGTAGCAGTCGGGCCAACTGGCCAAGAGGGTTGGTCGGGATAGGCAAGTTGGTGTGCGGGTAGGCCAAGTAGCTCAGGCGGCCAAGCAGGCCTAGCAGCGCACTGACACAAGGGTAAAACGCACGAGTGGACGAGGCAACGGCGGCGGCTAGCCAACCGGCCACCAAATCGCGCCCTGGCCAATTGTTTTCACGAACAGTCCGATTCTGACATTTTTGGGATCCTTGGAACTATTTTTTGACGTTCCAGACTCAATTTTGACAGTTTCGAATCTCAATGGAGCTTCCATAGTCAATTTCAAGTCATTTCAAATATTTTGGAGCACAATTTTTTTACAACTTTTTCCCCAATTAACGAGCCAACCTCATAATAGTCTAAAATTATAATTAAGGGTATTTGACATTCATGACCACGAGAGGTGGTCCACGTTGATGTTCAGAGAGTGGTCCTGCATTGAAATTACCCGAAATTTATAATTTTGCATTGAAACGATTTGAAGAACTTCAACACATATTTTTGGACTTCTAGAGCTTCGACATTCGAAAATATGGGGGCAAATGATATATCATTAAAAAAAATTGATCAGCCACGGATCTCAAGGCAAATTCTAATTGGAAACTTCCAAAATTAAATTTGGAGCCATCTGAACTCCGATTTCAACAAACTTATAGTCGAACCGAATGTCTCGAAGAGACTAACCCAACGATCCCTAATTCAACCCAATCCGAACCCAAATGGGTCTAAATCAAGGACCTAAAGAACATTTAGAAGGTTAAAACATAAATTGAATAACCAAATGATTTCCAAATGTGGCATGCTTATAATTGAATCGAGCGGCTTGACAAGACGAAACCAACAAGCCTAAGATTGATAAATTTTGAACATCATTAGGACACTCAAATACTTAATAAACAGCCCATGTCAAAATAATCAATATTGATCGTCCATCTGTAACACGCCCAACATGCCCTTGATCTTCTTTTTATTTATTGGTCATGTCATTCCCAATAAATAATAAATAACCCCGCATTCTTTACATGAAGGGAGGGATAAAGGAAAAGAAGAGAGAATAAGAAGAGAAAAATGAGATATCTCTTGCCACCAAGTTGTTCCTCGACCACCGCCCGACCACCAACCGTCGTCGGACTTCTGCCCGGCCATTAGCTGTTCCCAAACTTTTGCTCGACCACCGACCGTTGCCAAATTTTTGGCTGGCCACCAGTTGTCGCCAGACTTCTGCCCGACCACCAGACGTCGTTAGACTTCTGCCCGGCCACCAACCATTGTCGGACTTCTGCTCGGACACCAACCGTCGTCGGACTTCTACCTCGCCACAAGCCGTCGCCAGACTTTCTGACCTCCGTCACCAGCAAAACTACGGTCCTTCCGACCACCGTCGCCAGACTACGGTCCTTCCGACCACTGTTGCCTGACTACGATCTTTCTGACTTCCATCGCCTGTCGACTATTGGTTCTTCAAACCACCATCACCTGACTATGGTCTTTCCGACCTCCATCGCCCGCCAACTATGGTCCTTCCAACTATCGTCGCCCGGTTACAATACTTCTAACCACCGTCTCCTGATTACAGTCCTTCCGACCTACATCGCTCGACAACTATGGTCCTACCGACCAAACAAACATGTCAACAATGATTCTTCCAACTCCAACCATAAAATGTACTTTATATAATGTATATTGGTCACATCGTGTGAAAGCCTTCCCTCCAAGGAAGGGCTTCATATGTAATCAACTGCAAACACTAGTGGATTCCTTTAAACTAGGTAAGGACCCATGGTTTTTCCCCTTTTTTGAGGTTTCCTTGTAAAAACTCTAGTATCACTTATGAATGCTACACCCCTATCTTTCATCTGTTTGTATGTTGGATCTTCATACAAAGGTAGGACACTAAAATTCATACTTCTCTATTGCCGTGAATGTTCCAATCCGCAATGAGGATCAAAAGTTTTGGATCATAACATAGCATTAGCAAGGATTTGCAACAGCTCATTATCTGTTTGCAAATACCCGTAAAACTTTATGGATGGATGTCAAAAAAATTAATTTTCATTCATTCTAAATTTTAAAATTATTTATCACTTAATGGGAAAATCAATTTAGTTTACTTCTCTAATAAATTTTATACAATATTTTAAAATAACATTGCTTGAGAAATAATTTTTTTACTTAATGAAAAAAAAATTTCTTAGATATATTTTTACCCATTATCTCACTTGCTTCGATATTTTATTCTTGTGACTCTCACATGTGATGAAATAAAAAGTATTCCTATTCTAAAGTTCATTTTTCACATGTCAATTTGGTGGCTTGATACTAGAACCATAGCTGCCCAACTCAAATAAAATCATCAGACCAAATTCCTCAACATATGTCCTATCATAAAAATCTAACATTAAGCAAGGCTCTTGGGGTCAACAACAAACTTACAACTTCAAGAATCACAGAAATGACTCAAATTAGTAAATCCATGAATTCTTGAGAACTCAAAAGGGGGAAAACAGGTAAAAAAGTGTCAGTACCTTCTCAACTGAAATGTCCAATTGCTTTGAAAGATTCTCCTTGACAGTCCTGGAAGGAAGTTCATTTTCATCAAAAATTTGTCGAAGCTTCTGTAAAGATCAAGATACATTTAAGATTATAAAATGAAGTAGTAAAACCAACTTATCAACACATAAATGAACTTCAAAGGATAACATACTGACACAATACCCAATTGATTAAGATAATTCAACTGCTTAGAAAGCAATAAGTTAAGACTCAGTCATCAGATGGATATCTAAAGTAATTGATATCCACAGGTATGCATTGATATGGCAATTAGATCATGTTGCCAAGACATCAGAGAAAGCATCATCATAATTTCAAACTGAAATTCTTATAACAAAACTTAAAGGCTACAAAACATAGTTCTCTATATTTATTAAAAAAGGATAAGAAGATTAAACCTTTTAAGTCCCATTATTTTTGTGCAATATTATTATTTTCTGTAACAAATCGGCTATTTACATTTTCCATATACCAGATAAAGACTACAACTGTTTAGAAATGTAGTGAGAAAGGGGCTAACTGGACATAAGTTTTCAATGTGACTTGTACCACAATCTCAGTAATAGCTGTAATTAAGCAAAATAAAAGAGTACCAAAAGGCATTAAAGTAACCAGAAAATCTGATGGGATAAATGAGCATACCCTATCTTACATGTGATGCAATTGAGGAATGGAATTACAGTGTAAACTCATGGAGTTAGTATATTCATCTACCTTAAATTGGTAAGTTATGCTAATAAGCTGCAGCTACTCTGCCAATGTTCTCCATTACAAAATGTGCACAAAAATTTGGAGCCGATCAAAAAACATGGCAGATTAAAAGGTTAAATTACTAGCATTTTTGTTTAGAAAAACCTCGGTTAACAAAAAATATTATGGGCGTGACTAATTCAATGACCTATCAATACAAATGATTGCTTTAAGATATGTTACACAAATGAAGATCTAGATCCTATGCAATTGGTAGTCTAAGGGAACAGAAGCAAACCAAACTTGAAGAAAGCACCTTCAGTTTTTTTTGTAAGAAAGAGAATTACGAAGAAAAGGACCAAACATTGGGAACTTGGCAGCTAAGAGGTTTAGCTATCACATTACCCAGAGAAAGGTTTAGAAAGTAAGAAAACAAGACACTGGGTCATTAACTAGTTTTTTCTCACTTTTCTCTCCCTTTACTCACTACCACCCCAACTACTTAGACATACCAGCCAATTCTATCCTCTAATGGAGAATTCAGAGTCACTCTTCATTCTCTGTAACTACCATCAGTCCCCACCATTACCAAAAAACCAGAATCTCATGCTTAATTTTAGTTGTTAACCTAATCTTTAGCAGTATTTCAGCCCCAGAGCGTCTTCCATTGACCCATTCACAACGGTGAAAACCAGGAAAGCTACTGAGAATTATGATCCAAGTATGAATACTCATCAGATTTTGACGAGACTAGTAAGAAATATTTTTCATTACTATTGCCCATTAAACCAAGTTTCAATTATATATATATATATATAAACCAAGCAGATAAAGGTAATCTTCTTTTACACTTCTTTCCTTTAACATTCTTCTTCACTGATTCCTTCTATTTCCTCTAAATAAGAATTACCTAAATGAGTTCCCTTGATCCCTCAATAAGTTCTTAAGATAACGTAATGTTAACATTACTATATTTTGTTTTAAGTCAGTGGTTACACTACCTTCAGGTCGCTCCTCGCTTGATTTTAAGTACCACAAAATTATAAAAGCTTGATATGCTTCAAAATGAATCCAGCTTGAAGTATTCGGCTTCAAAATACCTCAATAGCATCAGGTGGGATCCTGAAAATGGATCTTTTATTACATGAAATCGCATCTCCCAATGCTATTTTCTCATTGCTGTCCTTGTTCTCGCCATCTGTAGAGGTAATGCCTACATCAGATGCAATCCTTGCCTTCTTCTTCCTATAAGGGCCCCAGTCTTCATCTTCACTTTGCTCGGTACCGTCATTTGGCTCCTTCCCAAACATTTCCTATCAAAAGGCAACCAGCAAACATAAATAAGGATTTTAGCATCTTAAGAAACAAGGAACTTCTTCATGGCGCGAAACATCAGTATTCCAAAATAGGAGCAAAGAAATAGTAAAATTACAATATGCTTTCCTATCAATCTGTTTTACTTCATCAGGTTTAGGAAGAGATGCCCGGTTTATTGGACTAGAAATGGAAGGGAAGCATTCTTAATGCTACTTTTATCATTAATACTTTAAAAAAAATTGCATGCAGAACTCAGGTTTATTTATGGTATTAAAATTAAGATCAAGCGTAAAAAAGCAATTGCTGACCTGTAATACTGAAACCAAAAAAAACAAAAAATCAAAATCACCTACCTGCTCGGACATCCGCACGACTTCGCACATCGAAGGCACGTCCGCGACACTCCTCCCACATCGCACGACCTCGCGTCGTTAAAAGCCCGAAGAAACGAAGCCTAGGGTCTCTCTTCGCTCTTTTCCTTCCTCTCGCATGCTTCTTCAGCATCCTTCGTCGTTGTTCGACTTTGTCCCTTCGACGACGTTCCCTTCAAGTCGAATCGGAAGTTATGACACTTTGATAGGAAGCAAGGGTAGGAGCTCGCTCGCTGTGGAGGCAACTTTCTTCGTTCGACGCGCTTCTTCGCCCCTCTAACGACTTGCCCTTCCTATTGGATCGAAAACAACGGGAGCTCACTAGCTGTGAAGGTAACTTACCCCCTTTGGCGTGCTTCTTCGCCCCTCAACAATTTTTTAATATAATTAATTATTATTAATCATAAATTAGTCATAATTAACTCAATTTAATTATAATTAATTGTTTTTTATTATTGATTAATCATGATTAATTAAGTTTAATTATGTTTAATAAAATTTTAATATGATTAATTTTTAATTAAACATAAATTAATTATAATTAATAAATCTAATTATAATTGATTCTAATTAATTAATAATAATAATTAATTGTAATTTATTTAAAAAGAGAACTCTCTTACCTCGGTGTGCGTGACGCGCCAGTCAACCATCTATACACACCTTTCTTAGCATGGTAGGAGGAAACCCAGTCCGACACCTAGGACGAGGCAAGTAAGCAGCTCTCGAACCTAAAATCCTGTCCTCGGCGTTTATGTCGAGCCTGAAAATCGCCCACACACGCTTTTCTTTAGCGTGGTGGGAAGGGAACCCGGTGCGACACCTACGACAAGGCGGATAGGCCCTATGCAAACTCTTTGTTGCGTGGTGGGAACAATCTTAAGTACCAATATGTGGCTTTGTACTTGGAAGGAAAGCAAACTATGCTCTTTTTAAAATAGGTGTCGAAGACCCATACACGCCTTTCTCTGGAACTTTTATTTGGTCAGGTGAACAGACGTAGAGCTACATTCGATCGGCCCTGAGATCGTGCCACGTATCAGGCACAAAACCGCGGCCCGACCCGGCGAATAGTGGGTATGTCGCACGTGCATTTTTTTAAATCCATGACCACGGGTCCACCATCATGTGCAACAAATATGGCAAGAGCACGAGCAGAGCAAGGGAGATGTAGAGGTGGCCCCCTCATTGTTACCAACCCAGACTAACATACAAATGAGCTCGTAATAGTTTACTTACAAGTGAGGATAATAGATATGCTACAAGACTTTAGCAAATGCAAGTCCGATGGGCATGGAGCATCAGGCAAGTGAATTGGCCTTCTACTGATAAGAGTAGGTGATATGCGACAAATGAGAATGCCAGCAAACTCTTATGAAAGACCTAGCAAGTATCTGATACACTGATTCCTTACAAGCGAGAGGTGGTCGAACTACATCTAGTATAGGCATTTAATATTAGTTGAAGAATGTCAGCTACATAAACAACACACTATTTATAAGTGAATGCAAGGAAAATTGTAATGAAGGTGAACACCTACATACAATGTTGATATTTATGTCACAAACATGAGGAAGCTTCTAACTAATATACATAAGTGATGAATATAGTACCTTTTGGTGTATATTAACCCACAATGAACAGAAAGATTCAATGATACTGCAGGAAGCCCATCACATACAAATAAAGGCAACTACAAACAGATGTAGGAGAAGTCTCTTTCATATAGAAGTCCAATCAAAGCTAACGACGAACGATATATATTGGATGCTAAACCATTTTATAATCATCAATCACTTAATATCAGTAAAAAGCACCAATTCCTTACAACAAGAAAGATTTGACGTACAATGAAAACAACGAGGTGGCACATCGGAATGCATTCAAGTCAGCATCAATACACTGCATTGCGCCTACCGGAATTAATGATCAATGTTTGACAAATGTGCTGTTAAAGATCAATGCAAATCTTGGTGATCTAAACTCACAACTACAAGCAGAAAGTATACCCGCTACAACTACATCAAGGGCTGCAACAATCTTTTTAGGAATATCTCGTATATTTCTTCTATACGACCCGATGCGCTTTCAATCGCTACAATGCCCGCTCGAGTCAGTAACTATTGATTTTAACGTATAGGACGTCAGCAAGGGCACAATCATCCAAGGTTGAAATGATTGATTCTTTATTTAAGCCAATATAAGAAAATGATCATGATGGTATAATCAAGCAGTTTCCCACTAATTTCTATACGAGTTTTGGGAAGAGAAAGCCATATCAAATCATTACGGAGTGAATAAATCTCAATTCAACCAAATTCTGAACATTGAGTTGGGTAAGATTATTGAGGCTTGCAAGCTCCTTGATGAAAGATGATTGTGCATCTAACACACCATCCACGGGCAAATACAAAAGGACTACGACAAACACAGGCTCCTACAAGCTGTTGTAGAAGACCCATATAGTACATTTGTCAAATATCCAAAAATACCCCCCGCACATGCATTGTAATTTGTATACACATAGGTACACAAAAGAGGTAAGTGCAATCACAAAGCCTACATAGGCCCTGTCGAGCATGTTGTAAAGACACACGTGACATCTAGAGATGCTGCGCAGGTCAATAATTTGAAAATGATCCTCCTAAGCATGTAAATAAGAGTCGACAAGGTTCAGCAAATATTTATAAAATGCCCCCAAACACCCACATGGGCCCCGAAGAGCGTGTTTTGGATACACCCGTGATGCCTAGGGATGATACGCGGGTCAAAAAATGAACATAGTTTGAGCCCGATCCTTCTATACGATAGGAGTCGACACAGCTTGAACTATCAAGCAGATATACAGTCAAGGTGTCAACCGAAACATCTGTTTTATACGTTCATATAAGGCCTTCAAGGCCTCCAATAAAAAAACTCATTAAACAAAAATATACAACCTACGAAATCCAATCCTCTGTTGACAGCTCGACAGAGTTGACAAGGTTCAATCCACAAATAGAAATGACCTCATTCACCCCGATATAGCCATGTTGAATGTATATCTCAACCGGAGGAGTGATTCCAACATTTAAAGCTCCACCCAAATACCTACGAAAATCCAAAATTCAGAATATTTAAAATTGAAATTCAACTGTCAATCACTTAAAGCAACATACATCCACCCTCCGCAACAGTTTGCCGGGGTGGACAAATTGGAATTTACTTCGGCTCATATAGAGCTAATGCCTAGTCAAAAATTTCACTAGGATCCATTCTCAAATAATCTTCTGCCAGTAAGGACGTGGGACGTGTCCTCTGATCGGTGATTTTGCCGCCAAAGGACACCTCAGGATAAACGGTTATGACCCGGGGCCCTCTGAACAGAGTGATTTTGCCGCCAAATAACACCATGAAATATTGGTTATAGCCAGAGCCAATGCATTCCTTAGTTGCATCAAATCCTTGAGATATGAATCAATATGATATAATCGATAGGGCACCAAGCCCTCTGTTAGCTAAAGTGAATTCAAATTTGTCCCCTAAACAAACATCCAACCCAGGTCTACAAGGTACCCTTAGACGAAGCAACCCATGACTGCCGACAAGGATCCTTCTGTCAGGTTGGGTTGATTGCCTCCACTGACTTAAGTAGATCAGGGTCCATAATGGCCCGGGATGAATGAACCATGGGATCTTGATCAGGACCATCATCCATTCCCCTACCATCTGCTTTAAGTGCAAGATGGTGAAAATTTTTAATTTTTAAATATCAAACTTTTCAAATATCTCAACCTAAATTTTCAAACATCCAAACTTTTCAAATACATGTGTCCATGCTGCTACTATATGCCACATACTGCGTATCTAAGGGTACAGCATATTCATCGATAACTAGCCTTAATCGAAAGTTCTCTCTCGTGATCGGGAGGGATAATTAACTATAGGGGCTTATGCCTATTGGAAACCAAAACTCAGATCATAAAGTCCTCGCAAAATGAGTGTGAAATCTCTAGGTAGTGTCTTATCTAAAACCCATATGCCTTCTCAAAATTTACTCCGGAACTTATTCTGTTAAAACTCCCACGAAGAAAAAGCACAGTGGACAGAGGCTGGGGCTGAATTTTTGGAGCCCACAGCCATAGATGTCAATGGCGCAAAATAGCGAGCGCCATAGTGCACGACGTGGCGCGGCGCACCTATGGCGCCATGTGTATGGCATGGCGCAAAGGTTCAAAATGGCACGCGCTATTTGCGCCACATGCGTGCCATGGCGCATGGCGCACGGCGCAAAACAGCGCGCGCCTTTTGTTTTAAAATTTTTTTAATGTAATTATAAATATTTTTATATTTTTTAAAAAAATTTTTAAGATAGTATATTTTCTAATTTTTAAATATATTAAAGGTATTAAGATAAATGTTAACTGCACTATTCGGATTCGGGTTGACCCGACCCGTTTTTGCAAATGGGTCGATTTTCTAGACCTGAACCCGACCCATTTTGGGTTCGGGTCAACCGCACCCGACCCGCTTACACGGCAACTAACGCGGAGCTGCTTGGCGGCAATAGTGGGCCGACGGCAGCGGGACGCAGACAGCGGAAACCGGCGGCAGCTTGACACGTGATGCAGAACTGACGTGGGACGCGCACGAGTGTGGGATGCGGAACTGACACTGGCAACTGACGCGGGACGTGAAACTGATGCTGGACGTGACGCGACGCTGGCTTCGGGACACGATGCGACGCGGCCGGGCAGGCGGGCAGACGGGCAGGCGGGCATGGGGCAGGCAGGTTAGCTGGGGAAAGCGAGGCAACCGGGGCAGGTAGGGCGGGGACATTTCGGGAAGACGAGTTTGTGTCATTCCGGGTCATTTCGAGTCATTTCCGGGTTCCCGGGTCAACCCGAACCCGACCCGATTTTTCAAACGGGTCGATTTTCCGGACCCGAACCCAACCCACTTCGGGTTCGGGTCAACCCAAACCCGAAATTTTCGGGTTGGGTTCGGGTCTTCGGGTCAGGTCCACTATTGACAGCTCTACCCACAACAATCTATCAACCATCCTAGCAGGACCTAAAAACAATCAAAACAAAACCATTGGAGTGAAAAAAAAAATGTATAAGAAAAAAATAGATCATCAAGTCACTCACATCATAAAGTTTCCTATAGTCAACATCTCGTCGTTGTCTGCGGTAGTTTGTGATCTCATCACCTGATTCATCAGAACCCAAGCAGTTGACAAAGTTCAGTGATGCATCAGAAGAGAAAATGGAGTTAACTGAGCTGCATGCATCATCCGAGATATTCTCCTCAAATTCGGCTGTGTTGTTGTCTGGAGAATAATCTTCATCCTCGGAATCATCTGATGGCCAATCCTCAACAAGATTAGAGCACGCTCCTTCAGCATCAGGACCAACAACTGCTTCCTTAAATATATCCTATTACATCATCAAACAGATATAGCAACATGAGTTAAAAAAGAATTAACTCTTTGCTTCAAGTAAATATACCTCGCAAAAGATGAGAGCAGGCTATAATCACTACCACACACTGACCTCCCAGCTACTATTCACAGTGAAGCAGGTACTTAAGTGTGCGTTTATGGTTTCTAGAATTTCCATCTTGCAATTGCAAATCTTGCAAAGCCATCCTTGATCTCCAGGAGGAACTGAAGTTATGGTCTGAGATCAGTTTCATAAATCAGGTTGCTTTACGTCATAACAACTACCTGAATGTCTGTAAATATTTAAGAAAAACTAGAAGACAACCGAAACAAGTAATTTTTTTGGGGAATTAACATAGCGTTCAAATTCAAAAAGAAGTCCAAGCATTAATCATAGAACATGTACACGGAAATCCTAAAAATATGTCTAATGCATCAAATTACAGCTAATTAAGCTCATAATTATAGCAAATTACTTTGAGATTTTTCAAGATTACCCTTCAAGAAACCCTTCTCAAGAAATTACTGACATTATTAGATTTATCACAACAATTTGTTCTATGCAAAATTTATTTAAAAAAAAGAAACCTCAGACCACTTTTTAAATGATTTTCAGCATCATTCCTGCACCAAACTGTGCAATACCATTTATGTCTACCACATATACATCTATAACATTCATTGGTATGCTTGCTCATCATTTGCATGTCTAAACAACCTCCTATGAAATTAAGGCACAGTGATATAGCCACAGTTTTCCCCCGTAACACTTAATTACAAAACCAAATATATTATCGCATTTTTAGAATCTGTAGACACTGCTTTTACAGTCCTAACAAATATAAATCAAGTCCCAAAATGGCATTTCTTTGAAATATGAGATACCAACCTTGTTCATTCTATTGCTACTACCCTTACTTGAAGATGTAAGAAACCATTAGGACAATCAATCATTAGAAGGAATAGTTTTCCATCACTGCAAATAAGCAAAAATAAAACTATATATATAAATGATACAATATAAAACTGTCACAAGTATTCTTCTAAGCATACAACTGGATTATAATTTACTGAAAAACTAGTTTGACCTTTTGGAACTTCGAATTTTACACAAGTAGAAGTTCCAATTTGAAATTCTTAGTAAGTCACAGTAAGCACCCCTCAGATCTCTTACAAAATATTATGCTCTTTTAGAGATCTTTCTTTGCCTTGATTTGCTGAATTTGTATAAAGTCCTAGTTTGTCCGTTGCCAGTTGAATGGTGGCGTCTCGTATAAGTTCTTGGGGTACCAAGGGTCATTTACAGGGAGTGTGTAAAGGGGAGGATAATAACATAAAAGGGAGGATACCCACGTTACAGGATCTCAGCAGAGCTATATAAAACCTCTAATTCAATATGAAATGGGAAGTAAGAAGGCACCAGTAATATCCTACCTCCCTTAAACATCTCATTTTAAAGCTTTTTCCTTCTTTCCTTTTGAGACAGCATTAAAATATCGCCCTCTTATTAGGGGATTCTCTCACTTTTCCCAGTTTTGTTCCACAAATTTGGATTGGGGTATTTCTTTTATTTTGTTAATTTGCATTCAGCGGGGTTGAGGTGGAGTTATTTTACAGGTACGGCTGATGTCACCTCTAGAGTGACATTACAACACCATATCTTATTGTAAGACTGTCATGGAACACATCAAAGCTTATTTTTACACCGATCCTCTTTAAAAAAAATGGCAAACTTAAACCACCAGCAATAAAAAAAAGCCCAATGGTTACATCAGGACAATTTTTTAGCCCGTCTCTAATTCGTTAAGAATCCCAGCCCTTCTTCCCACTTGCCTCAGAAGTCAAAAGTGGTTGTCAAAGATAAGAACATTATCAACTTTCATGTATTGAAATCAGCAAAACAGATTAGTTAAACATCCTTGTATTCCCTGAGGTTTAGCTCACCTTACAAATTAGTTCATGATTTTTACGGACCATACAAATTGGCTCTCATATCCAAGAAACCAAATCTATTCCATAATCTATTTCATCATTTTCAATAACTTGAAGCATTTGGAATTCAGCAACCAACAGCATGAAAGTGATGAAGCATGCACCAAGACATTGCATAAGGAAAACAATGCAACACGTGTACCAAACAGTGCCTCATAATATAATATGTTTCCTTCTACATATTTCTCTTATCCGCAGGAAGTCGGATTCTTGTATGATGAGACAGCATGAACTGATTTGATTGCTTGTAAATTTAACATATGAAATCAACTAGATACACAATATTAGGCAAGTAATTAAAAGGAGAATGATAGAACGAATCATAACTTGTATTTAACAAGCTTACATATAGCATTCTGAAAAGGAAGCTCACATTACAGTGAACGGTTTCCAAAAAATGCAAAAACTGGCACATACTTTTCTGTAATGGAGGCTCTAGACACTTCTGATGGAAGCCACAATTGCAATTCCCATCACAAAGTATGATATCGTTATCAGGAAAGGCTTCACGTGATTTGCATTTTGCACAGAAGATCTAATGGTAATATATAGTGATGTTACTGAAAGTTCCAAAAAAAAGCACTATTATCTGTAAAAGTCAATGACGTACATACATGTTCATGAAAAACAGATCCATCTGGATTCATAACAGAGTCTTCAATTCTTCCTTCCGAGCCAAGTAAATCCAACTGATGGATTGAATCCCGGATACCAAGTTTACATTTCAATATTTGTCTTTGAGCTCTCTGCAACTCCTTTTCAGGCTTAATTTTTTCTCGGCTGTAATGAAATGTTTGAAGAGAACAATAATCCTTATCAAAGAATAGTACTAGGCAGATCACGCCAACTCATGTGAAAGAAATTTTAACTTGTTCTTAACCATTTTACATAGAAACCGAAAAAATAATATAACTGTGAAAAAAGGGAAAAATAAATAAAAACTTAATTATTTAATTACAGCATAATTAAAAGTTGAATACTTTAAGATTAGTTTCTTTTCTAGATCTCTTGAATCAAATAGTTCCACATGTATAAAGAGTGCACATATTTTTGATAGACCACCAAAATTATGAGATGCAATAAGCATAGACTATTTGGTAGAGCAAGGAACTCAAGAATAAGAAAAGACTGTCACTTCATACTGGGCCAATCATATACTTGACTAGAGTGTCCTAACAAAAGGAAAAACTTCTAGTTTCCACTCAATTCTAAAGCCACTAGCCTAAACAGAAAATTTAGAACGATTTCTTAGGATTGGAAGAGAATGATTGATACCTAACAAACGCCTTTAAATGCATATGGTGTAAGTTCTTATATCAGGAATAAGGTCAACAAACTTTAGCAAAACAAGAAGGATAGAGTGTCAGGAATGCTGCAGAAATTCCACTATAATAGTTAAGGAGAACAAATGGAGATGGTAGGGAGCAAGAAGACATAATAGATTGAACAAGTGTTTTGAAGAAATGGAAACATATCATGATTAACATTTTTTTCGAATAACTATAGTATGATGGTCAAACGAATGATTAATGCAGACAAAGTTGAGCAAAAAATGGTCAAATGAATAACTTAATAAATTTTCATAAAAACTCAAGGGTTATACTTTAAGCAGCCAAATGAAAGCACATTGAAAATACTTCTAAAGAAAGAATTGGCATGCACAGCCAAGCCAATTTCAAACAGGATCCAAAGAAAATATTATTTTTCTTTTATCCTTTTTTGAAAGGCTCTTTCAATCTTACTATAAGTCCAAAAAATACCTATGTCCTTTCCATCCATCTCCAGAATAAGCATCGATAAGAGTCTGCTCCAGCTTCATCTTAATTAAAAGGTAGCTTGCTCTTCTTTGCATGCGAGAGACTTCATCCTGCACAATAATCTTTTTCCTTCCCTTAAGCCTTCTCCTTCTGGCAGATTTCTTTTCAGAACTTCTCCTTCTGGCAGATTTCTTTTCAGAAGTTCTAGCCAAATTTTTTGAGTTCTTTCCCACAGAAAAACAGGTTCTTTTTCCTGTTAGTTTAAAAGAACCAATACGCTTATCTATATTAAAGTCAGACTTCTTCTGTGGAGTTTCAATTGGCTTGCCATTTAAATTATTCTTCCTCTTACATGCCCTTTTCTTCCGGAATCCTGGTGTCAGATAGTATCTTTTGTTGTTGGCAACCTTAAAACCTTTCTGGTTCAGTGGCATGGAAACGGTTTTAGAATTCTCCTCATTAGCAAAATAATTTCTGGACTTGTATCCAATCAACTTCTTTACAGGAGCTCGCATCTTAAAATTATGAGAGCATTCATGAATCTGAAAACGAACAAATAAGTGAAACAAATAACAAAACTGAACAATAAACTCAGCCTACGTACATGAAATAAATAATTTCTGGAAATAAATCAAGTACATTGTAAAAATTTTAAATGTAGTTCAATAATCTTCTCAAGCTATAATCTCTACCATCTTTTTTTCACAGTATCTATTAATTATTTATCTCTATCTCTATTGTAAAAAACAATTAGCCCTAAAGTGTAGGCATCCTCCCAATTTTCTAGAGACAATGATTTTGTCTAACTTATAATCAGAAAAGTTAATATATTGTCATTCAATGGAGGAAAAATACCTCATAACAATGGGCATTCAACCACCAAAAAATTGAAAGAGCAGCAAGGTGTTCTGCCAGAAAGATGAATGTAAATGAATAAACCAATGCCCGGATGGATCTAACAAGCACAAGAGAACTTGTCCCAAGAACCTTATGGAAATTTCCTAAGGTTGATCATTCAGCTTAAGAATATAGCCTGTATCAATCAAGTATAAATTTTCCCTGTCACTATCATATACATAAACATTAAATCAAGCATACTGCATAGTCATAATCTTTCAGTGACCTAAAATTGTAATCCAAAATTATTTGCATTTTGTACTACTAGAAAGAATTGGCAAGTTAAGAATGCTCAGCTTATGCATAGATGAATAAATAAATCATTCAAAAAAATTCATCAATGAATTTCTTAAAGAGAATTCTGGTAACAGCTCCAACTTCATAAAAGCAAATCTCAAGTGCAACAAAGAATGAATCGGTAAATTATATTAGTTAAGGATTGAAAAACATAGAAGATTCAAGAAAACCAACACCGACGAGTCCCACGGATTTCTTCCAGTTAAAACCCTTCGGACACTAATCTTTATCTGATCAAAACCGCTCAAAATCTAGTTCACTAAAGCATGACATTCCAGCATTTATATCAGAAAATCATAATGAAAGGCTTCTCTTCTTGACAACCTAAGCATCGACAGAACAATTCAACTATGCCGAGAAAAGGCCAGGTCAAAGGTATTGAATTAATCGTCAAAAACTGAGAAAATTTTTGCGGAATGAACCCAAAAATGGCATCTAAAGCGATGAATTTCTGACCTTTGCGCATAACAATACCTCAGCAAAAAATGATTCAAAGTGATGAAAAGATTGGTGCTACCTAAATAAAAGTTGCTAATCACTGGGGAATTTCCCTTCTTCTGATTCTAAGTCGCCTTCTTGGCTTCTTGGTTCTTTGTATCCCCGCTTTCTTCTCCGCATTTATTTATGGGCTCAGCCTCCGGGTTTATCTGTTCATTGGGCAGGCCCTGGGACGGGCCGGGTTTGGAGGGCAGGCCAAAACTTGTTCCAGGCTTCGAACACGAGGCATAACAAAATTGTACTAAGATTTTTTTAAGACAATTTTCTTATTATTTCATAAAGTTGTTTTTAATAAAAAAATTAAAAATTTTATGCTAAAAAGCGGTTTTAAGAAGCAACAAGAAAATAGTCTCAAACGAAGCCTAAATTCCCATCAAAACTTTGATTAGAAAAATAAGTATCTAAATTATTAAATTCATTTAAAATTAAAAATAATATAAATTTTTAAATTTTTAATATAAACTATATTTATCTTTAAAAAAATTCAATAATTTAGATATATCTTAATCAAAATAAATTCAATATATATAAAACATCATGTATATGCCACATTATTGTAATATTAGGTATGGTCATGACAGCATGACTTGATTTGATGTATTTTTTATCATGAGCTCTACATGGCTCTTCATCTTCTCATGTGTGATAGTAGCTTTAGCTTAGAGACTCTTTCCAAGCATCTTTTTCATGAGATA